AAAATGATAAATAATACAAATACAAATTAATTAATTAAGATTATAATATTTATACTTCAAATATTTTATGCTGATATTATATTTAAGCAAATGTTAGTATTATAAATTAATTATTTTATGAGTAAATTTTTAAAATAAGTAATTAAATACATATGGTAATAAAGTTAAAAAGGAAGATTACTAATATTACTAAAAAAATTAAAAATGACTAGTGGCGATAAATTATAAAAAGTTAATGAATGAATTATATTAAATTGCATTAAAAATAGTATTATAATTTAATTATAATTAAATTATTTTATAAAATTTTAATGTTAAAATATCAGATCTTATAGCAATAGAGCAATTGTTAGCATATATATTTATATATATTTATATATATTTTCAAAAATGATAAATAATTTAAATTAAATATTATTATAATCTATATAAAATGTTATGATTTTCAATTTTGAAAAATTCAAAAAAAAATTATTATTTATCAAAACTTTTATTATTATATATATAAGAATAAAAAATTATTATTTTTTAATAAAAATAAAAACTAACTATATTTCTATATAAATAAAATATATATTGTTTAAAGTTTTATTTTTAGTATTCAATTTTTAGTATTTAGTATTTTCTATATTCAACGATTTACAAATATGATATTTTTGAATAGAACTAGAATGGAATTCATAATCATGATTATTCATGATTTTAAATAATTTATTCCTTATATTTATATAAGAAAATATATTTATAAATATATTTTTAAATAAATATATAAACTTTTACAATATTTATAAATATGTAAATATAATATAAAAAATTTAAATAAAAAATGTAAAATACAAATTTAAAGTCTTTAAATCTCTATTAACACATTATCAATTGATAAGATAAAATTATGCTTTATTTAAATTGATATTTTTTAACTAATAGAGTAAGATTATATTTAAGATTTTTTAAATAAGTTTGGTTTCAATCTATTACATCTATTGTATATCTAAAATTTTTGATGAAATTAAAAATTAGTATACCATTTTGTGATCTGTTGTTTTATTAATTTTATTATTATCTTTTTGGAAAATATTCAAAAAGAATGATTAATAAAAAAAGATTTCAAAAGTTTATATGGACTTGGCCCATAAAAGACAAAATCAAATTTATTTTGCATATTTTGTGAAATTCTTCCACATATATATAGATAAATGTTACTTATTATTATATTTCAAAGAAATATTAATTTTTCAATAATATAATATACTTTTTTTTTTCTTTTCATTTAAAGATAAAACTTTGTTTCTCAATATATACTTCTTTTTATTTTTGGAAGAAATCAAAAATTTTCACATTTTTTTTAATTTTAAATATTCATGATCCAATTGTATTTAAATTTCTATAGTATATAATCATAAATGCAATTTGTTCAATTCAATAAATTTTATAAATAGCTAATATTCTTTGATAATACGAAATTTTGCTGATTGTATATATTTTAAAATGTAACACCGACAGGCAATATATAAATGTAACCAAAAAAGATTACCAATTATTAACGGAAAAAAAAGAAAATCAAATTAATACAATATAGAAAATGCTTATCCACACTATTGCATTGAAGGCTATATAATTGTATTGAATAATTTTCTTATATTTTTAATTTATCATAATATATTTTAAAAGTAATTTTTTTTTATTTTAAAATCGCAGAAAACATTGAATATCTTAAGTAATTTTTAATAACTTGATTGATTAAAGCATATTCTATAACAAATATAATAGGCCTTTTTTAAATAAAAATCAATGAGACTAAATTCAGACCTTAGATCATATATATTTATAGACACAGTTATAGATAATTGCAAGATAATATCATCTCTGCATATAATGCCATATATGTATGAATAGACAATAATTATGAAAGTTTTTACTTTTAAAATAAAATAATGTATTATAATAAATGTAATTATAATAAAATATTGTAAATATTGTAAATATTTTTATATTATTTAATATAATTTAGTCATTATAATTAAATCTGAATATATATTTTTTATTTTATTTATTTATTCTTATTTATTATTTATTAAAATTTAGTTATTAAAATAAAAAAATAATAAAAACAATATACAAATATCTAGAGAAAAATTATTTATTTATAATTATTGATTACAAAATGAAGTTTTGGTAAGTTTACTTCTGATTCTTATTCAAGATTTGAAAATAAGATAGGATATCATAAAATAGATCTTTAACATAAATACATTTATATTCAATTAATTGTTCTATTAGTGAATAAAAGCTTAAATACAAAACTTTTTATTTCAATAGGATATATTTTTTTTACAATAACAGGATTTAAATTACTTTTATCATTTTTTGTATTTCTTGCAATATAATATATTTGTCTTATTATTAATAATTAATTGAATATTATCTACAGATATTTAACTTCATTTATATATATAGCTGCTTGTAGTATGTATCTAAAATAATACTTTGAATTATCTTTTGTTCATAAATTATATCATATTTTTTGTATTATCTTTATTCAATTTGACTTGTAGATTTGTCTTATGTATAAGTCATGTCTATAAGTATATATAATCTAAGGTCCAAAACTTAATATAAATCTTAATAATATAATTAATTAAATTACTAAAAATTATTAATTTCGAATTCTTGCGATTTTTTATAATTTCATAAAATTTTTGTTTCTAACATATATAATATATGTTATTATGATATATTATAATATATATATACAATAATGCAATAAAATAATTATAATTCGGTATAATAATGTAAATATAATATATTTATGTTACTTGATTTTTCTCTTTTTGTGTGTTATATATTACATAGTTAGAGATTAACTTGATAGAAAATTAATAAAATAAAATAAAATTAAACATTTCAAAATATTGTATAATAATTCAATAGCATTACTATTACTATTCATAGTATATCTCATATATATTTTACTTTATTAAGATTTTGTAAATTATTAATGATATCGCGTTTATTGTGTCTTTGAAAAAAAAATTTAATACTATTTTTAAATCAAGCAGTTATTTTTTTTAATGGTTTTAAATTTTTTAAAAATAAAAAAAAAAATAAGCAATTATTTGACAAAAAATGTATACTATGAAATGCTATTTTTAATGTTTATATTTTATATTTCACTGAATAATTTAATTATTTTTGTATATTAAATGTTT